CAGGACTTCAGCACCCTGTCTTGCTGAGCCAGATACTTCCGTCTGCTTCAACACAGACCCAGGATCTGAATAACTTGCCCCAAAGCTGCAAGTTTACCTGAAAACAGCTCACAGAAGTATGCTTGTCTTTAGCACTCAGATGCCCAACGGGGTCTAAACCCAAATAAATCCGTTTTACCCTGTATAAAGCTTATACAGGGTAAACTCATAAATTGTTCGCCCTCTATAACACTGATAGAGAGATATGCACAGCTGTTTGCTCCCCCAGGTATTAATACATACTCTGAGATAATTACTAAGTAGAAAGTGATTTTATTAAATACAGAAAGTAGGATTTAAGTGGTTTCAAGTAGTAACAGACAGAACAAAGTAAGTCACCAAGCAAAATAAAATAAAATGTGCAAATCTATGTCTAATCAAACTGAATACAGATAATCTCACCCTCAGAGATGCTTCAGTAAGTTTTTTCTCAGACTGGACACCTTCTAGGCCTGGACACAATTCTTTCCCCTGGTACAGCTCTTGTTCCAGCTCAGGTGGTAGCTAGGGGATTCTTCATGATGGCTCCTCTCCCTCCTTGTTCTCTTTCACCCCTTTATATATTTTTTGCATAAGGCGGGAACCCTTTGTCCTGCTGGGTTTCCACCCCACTCCCCGGAAAAGCACCAGGTTAAAGATGGATTTCAGGTCAGGCGACATGATTACATGTCACTGCAAGACTTTATTACCCACTTGCCAGCACACACATGTACAGGAAGACTAACAGGTAAACACAGCCATCTGCAGACAATGGTCCTGGTTAATGGGAGTCATCAAGATTCCAAACCACTATTAATGGCCCACACTTTGCATAATTACAATAGGCCCTCAGAGTTATATTTCCTATTTCTAGTTTTAGATACAAGAGTGGTACATTTATACAAATAGGATGATCACACTCAGTAGATTATAAGCTTTGTAATGATACCTTACAAGAAACCTTTTGCAGGAAGCATATTCCAGTTACATTATATTCACTTATCATATTTTTATAAAACTATATAGACTGCACAACGTCACAAGTGGGTCTCAAACTTTTTTACTGGCGACCCCTTTCACACAGCAAGCCTCTGAGTGCAACCCTCCAATAAACTAAACACACTTTTTAATATATTTAACACCATTATAAATGCTGGAGGCAAGTGGAGGTTGACAGCTCGCGACCCCCCATGTAATAACCTCACGACCCCCTGGGGGGTCCCGACCCCCGGTTTGAGAACCCCTGCTGTACAAACTAGCTGAGTTATTTTTTTCCCTAAGAAGCCCTATTCACAGAAATAAGGTCATGACTATTAATGTCAGAGAAAAGTCCACTCATTTCTCCCGACCTTGTTAAAAACACAAGCCAGAGTTTCCTTTCGCATTTGTTCTACATCATGGATTTACTCCAGTGTAAGTGAGAGGACAATCAAGACAATGGTCCTAATTTGCACTGTAGATTGGCCCATAGCCATGTTTTGTAACTAGGTTAAAGGTTTGGTGACAAACCCCTACCAAGGATAAAAAAGATATTTAGGGAAATGGATACAATGAAAACAAACAGTAGCATATTCTTATTGGTAAAATTATCTTTTGCACTCTCTCTGTGTGTGTATGTGTGTGAATTAAATGATATAAAGGGATATTATTCCATTTGTCCCATCCTCCATTCTCAACTTTTGCCTTTTTCCTGACTGACTATGATTCTATGTCATCATTGCCATGTCTTTCTTTGATTGTTTATATTGCACACATCCAGTTTAAACTGTAAACTCCTTAAGTCAATGACCTATGTAAATTACATGTTATATAAATCATTGCTTACATCTTTGATGCTGTGGAAGTAATAAATACTAATTAAAAGCTGTCTACTTGCTAAAGGTGCAAGGAAACCTAAAAAGCAGTCAAAAAACAAAGTGGAGGCTAAATGAGGAGGAAGGAAGATTTTCAGATCCCAGTAGAAACACTGGAACTGTACAAAGTATATTGTCAATGCTCAATGAGAAACAACTACCACCTAGAATCATAGGTTCAAGTTCCAGTAGGACTGATTCATCTCTTCCTCCTCCTGCAATAGTTACATTGAGTTGCATGCTGTGTGAATGCAAAGGGTGGAGTTAGATTTCTTACAAGAGATCAGGGATTTTTTGATTTTTTTTTTAAAGATGACTGTATGAATAAATAGGGTCTGTTCTGCATAGTCACCAAAAAGATCACATGCTTTTTCCTAAGTACAGTATTTTACCCTGGTGTCTTTGGCCACAATCCCTCCGCCCAATTATTATTATTTATATTACCATTGTGCCCATGACCCCTACTCATGGACCAAGATCCCAATGTGCTAGGCACTGTACAAACAGATGGGAATAGGGTGACCAGATCGCAGGAGTGAAATATCAGGACACATTGGGCGAGCGGGGTGGGTGGCGGGGAGAGGACGACAATGACAGACACAGGTGCACAGAGCCATGAGAGGGGCCCTAGGAAGCTGCAAGAGGGGTTGTACGGCCCCTGCTGCAGCCCGCACCACAAGACACAGGGCAAGGACACCTATTGAATTCAATGAGCCCAAGGAGGAAAGGCGAGTGGCGCCGGCTTGCCGCGGTTCCCCTCATATAGGGTGACCAGACGTCCCGACCAATGTAAGGTCGGGACGCAGGAGAAGTCCCCTAAAATCGGGACTGTCCCAATAATATCGGGATGTCTGGTCACCCTATTCGCTACTGAGATACCAACTCCTTGCCTCCAATTGGCCAATGATGCCAGCCTCCGTCACCCACCTGTTACATTTTCACACAAGAATCTTTGCTGCCACACTTAAGAGAACTTTCCATGAATATCCATAAAGCTACCTCATTGTCCTCTTCTAAATCCCTCCTTAAAATGTTCCTTTTCCATGATGCCTACAAAAAAACTTGACAGCAGTTAAGGTGTTGGCATGCTCACCCAATTGCCAGTCATGCTGACTAACACTATTTTATTGTTTCCTTGTACTTTCCCATCTAGGGTGACCAGATGTCCCGATATGTGTTTTGTGCCCTCCTCTGGTGGATTTTTAGAGGATAACTGTATAGCTACCAGCTAAGAGACTGGGAGTTATATCTTGAACTCAAGTAGTAGAAGCTCATCCTTTTAAGTCTGGATGGCTCAGGTTCAGTCTTTGGTGACTAGCTATGATGGAGGTTGCTACACTTATAATCCCTTTAATCGGAGGTTCTGAATATGCTTTGTTGTAGGCAGAGCTAGCCTATAGTTAAGCAACCGAAAATTTAGAATGGGAAGTGTTGAAATGTTGGGAAGCCTTATAATTTTGCCAGTCTGGAAGGAACATCACATCTGAGGGATGAGGGCGGGGAGAGAGGAGAGTGAAAAAGGACCAGGAAACTGGGACAAGGAATCCAGAGCAGTAGTGGGGGGCAGTTAAAATCAGATGAGGAGCTGGGGCAGGTTAGACAGCAATAGGCTAGAGGGGACGGGGAAGAAGGGTCTTTGACTACTAGAGACCACTGCATTCAGGAGCCTGGAATAGACCCAGGATTCCTGTGTTTCACAGTTCCTCTTCTGTCAGCAGATATCTGTGAAACCCAGTGGCAAAAAAAGTGTCTCATCCCCCAATACAGCTGATCTATCACATATAGGATGACAACCTACTGCCTCCACTTACTCCATTAGCTCACGTGGCAGAAGACTGTGCAGTGGATCTAAAGGTTCATCGGCAAATTCAGACTGGATAAAAGGCACACCTTTTCAGTGACGAGAGTAATTAACGATTAACAATAAACTAAGGGTCATAGTGTTTTTCTAAAAGCTTTTTCTAAAAGCTT